AAGACCATGTGAGCAAATTGCTCGAAGAGGGTAGGGTCAAGAGTACTCGGATACCTAGACGTGCATGCATGAAGAAGATAATGAATCTGAAAGAAGCGAAAGAGGTTTGTAAGGATCGTGACACTTGGCGATCTGTTCTCTCTGGCTACCCCGTCAGGGATTGTGCGTGAAGATAAGTAAGTAAGTAAGTAAGTATTATTACATACATTAAAAATACATACATTTTTATTATTATAAACTCAATCCTGAGAAAACTTAAATCATTATTAACACGTAGGATATATTTTGCAACACACATAAGCAAAATTATTGAAAAAATCCTTCATATCTGGATTTCCACGCATAGCAACAAAAGACCCTTAAATGTTAAATAACAGTAATAATGTTATACGTATACATACATGAGAGATGCACGTCGTTACGCTTGAGAGGACAGCTCCAAGCTCCAACACACCGGTGCCCGCGGTGCTGTCGGACACACATCGTTTGTTATTAATCAAGGCAACTACATTAAAACATTACTTATATAATAACACTAGTACAAGCCCCACTTCGCCTGGGTAGAATATATTAATGATCTTCTATGGCGCTATTTAGATTTAAGATGACAAAAGCCTATTTCATTAATTTTTCGTTTTTTTTTTTCTTCAATAAAATCTCATAGTTTTTCGAACAAACTATAGCCTAGATCATTGATCAGCTCTCTCAGCTATAAGTTCAGCTATTTCAAAGATTAACCTGGACAGACAAACCATACAGGAATACATACTGATAGACAAAAGTTTTAAATGGTTATTCAAGCTTTAATGGCATGTAAATAACCACTTCAGTTTCCTCATAGGGGGAGATTTGCCATTATTATTTTGAGTTGCTATCAGGAAGATATTGCTACCGATCTCCTGTTTCACTTTCCCTCTGTCGCCTCTTACGTCACCACCGGGACGATATGTGATAGTGAATAGTTTTAGACCGCCACTACACGCCTACTACTGTTACTGCTAATAATATAAATTTTGTTGTACTTTTCCCCCGTACTGGCGGTTTTGTAGCATCATTCTTCTCTTTTCATATTCATTACTCCGTAAATAGTCGCTATTTGGCCATGCATCTTATATAGGCAATAATAGTTTGGCGTAGTCATCTCATTTTCAGCTGAATTAGCGACCGCTACCTTACCTTATACCTTACGCGATGAGCAGCGTCAAAATTATACCTTACTTTTGGAGCTGTTCTTCGCCGCCAGTCAGTATTTTGGTAACAAAAACATTGAGAATAACGTTCATATCTGGGCAATTAAAATATGTTGATGACATATCAAACTCATCAAAATGATAAATTAGAGCAGCATGGCGAAGTCCAACAAATCCCTATCAGATATCCCTATAATATTAAGAAACACTTGTGCTTAGAAGTAGGACGTAATGTCGGTTGTTGTTACTAATATTTTTATATAATACGCAAGTTCGACAGCCTCGTTGGTCTAGTGATCGTAAGCGAGAGTAATGTGGTCCTGGGTTCGAATCCGGCTCGGGCAAAATCAGATATTGGGTGTTTCAATCAATTCAATCATCGAATTTATAAAATACTCAGTAGCAGCCCGGAGTCAAAACGGAAAGCACGTAAAGCCGTTAGCCCCGCGCATGTCCAGTCGTATCGGATTGCTGTCCCATCGGACTTTGAGACTGAGGGATAGAGAATGCAATTTTGTTAGCGCACACATTCGTGGACTTTAATGCGCAGATGGTTAGACTCCGTTGAGACTGACAGCCGTGATCGAAATCCGGTCTGGAGGACATAATACATATCAGTTACACCACCATCTGTCGAAGACCGATTGAACTTTCCGAGACTTTTATAACTTTTCCGTTCTGGCATTCACAGGGTGAGATGGGGTAATAGATTTCTTACAGGTGAAAGATCGTAGATAGTGCTATATTGTGACAATTGTGTGAAAATTGTTAGGTTATTCCCATTTCGCCAGAAGGCTATCATCACATCATATCATAGCTAGAAAGGAAGGGTGCATATTTAATTAAAAAAAATAAAATTTTTGTGCAAAACAGAGTTGGTTTTGTGCAGGGCAATTGTAATTGACACTGTCAGTAGTCCGTACGCCGTCACTGAATCAAAGTCTATTTCCTTATGTCACAGCTCATAGCTGTCCCTCGCGACTTCGCCCTCGTGGAATTTACTACGATTTCATGGGTTTTAATTTTTTGCGCGGAACCCTAATTATTTTTCTAAAATAAAAGTATCCTTAGTTACTCCTTATAATATCAGCTATCTGCCAGTGAAAGTCCCGTCAAAATCGGTCCAGCCGTTTCGGAGATTAGCCGGAACAAACAGACAGACAGACAGACAAAGATTTTAAAAATTGCTTTTTGTTATTAGTAGCGTATATACTTTCATATACATTTAGTAAAACGCTGTTATTTATTACAAACAGACTCCAATTTTCATTATTTGTACAGATAAGTGTTACGTCGGACACACGCAGGTTAGAGCAAGTAAGAGATACTGTTTTCGAATTAACTTTTGATACACAGTTTTGATGCGCAGATGGTTAGGCTCCGTTGAGACTGACAGCCGTGACCGAAAACCTTAAAACGAAATTGTACAACCAGTGCGTGTTGCCAGTGATGACTTACGGAACTGAGACGTGGTCCTTCACTGCTGGCCGTATGAGGAAACTCAAGGTCGCTCAGCGAGCTATGGAGAGGGCTATGCTTCGAGTTTCTCTGCGTGATAAACTTAGGAATGAGGATATCCGCAGTAGAACCAGAGTAACCGACATAGCCCAACGGATTAGTAAGCTGAAGTGGCAGTGGGCCGGCCATATAGCTCGAAGAACCGACAACCGATGGGGAAGAAAGGTTCTCGAGTGGCAGCCTCGTACCGGTAGGCGAAGTGTAGGGCGTCCCCCCACGAGATGGAGTGACGACCTGGTAAGACATGCAGGAAGTCGATGGATGCAGGTGGCTCAGGACCGTGTTATGTGGCATTCTTTGGGGGAGGCCTATGTTCAGCAGTGGACTTGTGAAGGGCTGTAATGATGATGACACAGTTGATCTCCTAGAACCTAGATCAGATGAAAACAGCGTCACTTTATTGACATATTCTTTTTTTATACCCTAATGGAGCCATCGTGGTCTACACAGACCAATTTTGAATACTTGTTTTATTTTAATATAAGTAGGCCAATAAAAACTAATAAAACTCATACCTATTTATATAAACAGAAAATTTCATAAGTCAGGCATTTGCTAAATAAACATCCATTGCGTATGCGTTGCTTATAATAATTAGTGAATACATATTACGCTCACAGGGCTCCATATGACCCTGTTCACCGGACGTCGGTTGTTTACCGAAGCCCACGCGAAGTAAGCGTTAGACGCACGGTGGTCAGTTATACGTCTAAACATGGTTGTGTTCATAAAAAGTAGCTTTAAACTAAATAACTCCAACATCAACCCGATACTATTAGGCCAGCTGTTCTTAGGACGTAGCGTATGCTCTTAAGTGGCAATAAAATCATGTCTAATTATAGCAATGAGCTTCTTTAATGTACTAACAAGTGCCTCATTGCGTCCTTTATTTGAACATCGAGCCAAAGCAGATAATTAAGTGTTTAGTATGAAAATATTCGAAAAAATTTACAAATATTCCTTAAAATAATCATAAACGATCAGTGTGACATCGGAATTTTCCAAATATTGACTATTTCAGTTATTTACAATAATTAAAATTCACACCGTGTCTTATCGTCATTCCTTATAAGCCCACTGCTGAACCTTCAGGTGGTGAAGTGCAAAGTACGCTGGCGTATCTTACCAAAAGCATAAAATTCAGTCTTTTTTAGGAAATACCCACATTGTAATCGGATGGAAAGATATCAAATTATTTTACTTTGTTGTACGCATCACGAATGACGATTTTTTTTTTAATTATTTCAAATAACCTCAAAATTAACATCCCTAATCTGTCTAATCCATTTATTTAGTCCTTGAAATTTTCTTAGTTTTTCATTATAAATATAAACCTTTGTCGTATTTCACTTACAAATTATAATTATAGGTAGTTTAGCTTTTGTCTAGTGATACCAACAAGAATTCTCCAACAATAAGGATAAGGATAATTTTAATATCTTCACTAAAATTACCTTAATTAGATAAACGTCACTATCATTCCTGCTCATTGGAAGTCCACTGCTGAACATTTGCCTCCCCCATAGATTGCCACAAAGTACGGTCCTGTGCCACCTGCATCCATCGACTAATTGACTACCTGCATATTTTTTACAGGTCTGATAAGAATAAACGGATACAAAATTGTAAATTTTTTACATCTATACAAATAAATAAAACTGAAGCTTGTCTGTTTGTAATGTTAAAATAACAGCTTTTTACTCAATGCATATGAATGCATATATACATAACAACATATACATAACAAAAACACAATTTTTAAAATTTTTGTCTGTCTGTCGGTCTGTCTGTCTGTTTGTTTGTTCCGCCTAATCTCCGAAACGGCTGGACCGATTTCGACAGAATTTTTACTGGCAGATAGCCGATGTTCTAAGGAGTAACTTAGGCTACTTATATTTGAGAAAAAGAATTAGGGTTCTGAGCAATATAACTAAAACCCTCAATTACACGCGGGCGAAGTCGCGGCGCACAGCTAGTATCTTATATAAACAGGACCATTTATATAATAACTTGTCCATATTTAATAATGGTTAACTATAAATAGCCTTTTCTCACTTGTAACTTTGAAGCTATATGTATATATATATTGCTTGAATTTCGTTGCAGGCTTTATGAGCTGCAATAATCACGATCATATGAACAGCTTAACTGTGACCGAACTATACTTAAACGCAGTTCAAGATGCTGTCTTTTAAGATGTCATTAAGTCTCGTGATATCACAGTCACTTTGATTTGGGCATTAGTGTCCAAAAGGCTAAAATTATCGGTTCTATCGATTTCAGTCTTAAACAATGGGAGCACCAGCATGGGGCTCGCGTGGCGGTGATCGGCCGCGGCTGCTGCGCATGACGCCACTGCGGCACAGCTTCGCCGCCCCCGCCACGCCGCCCGCTCCTCCCCCGCCCCGCTCACACGACTACGCCTCCGACGCCGATACTAATAAGAAAGGTAACTTCCGCATTTACAAGTTTGAAACCAACAGTCTGCTTACTTTAACCGTTATCGAAAAAATTGTTGATTCATCGCTTATGCTCTACTCGGTATTGCGTACCTACACTACCTGTCCATTTTAGAATAGTATTTACTTTATACCTTATATGTAAGATCTTCATCCTTTATAACACTGTTACTCGAACTTTCAGAAGAAAGCTGGAATGCGAACTTATCCCAAAGATGGAGAAAACTACGTCGACGTTGTTCGCGATTACGTCCCGGTTCTGGTAACCGAGAAGCAAGCCCAGTGCGATGTTCCCCGTCCCCTCCGCGCCCGCCACCACACTGTTCGCCCGCGCCGCCTTCAAAACTCTCATTCAGACATCGTGGAAAAGTTTATACAACGGCTTCACTGCGTGTGACCAGCGGAGCTCCAGATTTACTGCGAGCCTTGGGCAAACTAGGTGGTGGATTACGTCGTCGAGCCCTTTCCGCGCACGATGTCCTCAATCCTCCACAACAACAGCCAGCCACGTTTTACGTTCCAAGTCCAACGGTTGAGAGGCAAACGTCTTCACCGTCACCACAAAGACAGTCGGCTACGTTACGCCGCCGCTGCAGTTCACCAAATGTATACAGAGCCAAAGACTCAGCGGGACCACGTGACCGCACTCCACTCATAAGCCAGAATGATGAAAATCGAGATGTTGTTGATTACAGTTATGGTATGGACCGTAGAAGAAATTACAAGGAAAGTCGAAGTAGACCGTACAGTGAGAATGTAGAAATGGAACTACCTTGCAGGAACGGTTATAATCGACTTCCAACAAATATATCTGATAGACTGTGGGAAGAGCCTTACAGGTTACCACGAGTACAAGCGCGACAAGAGCCAATTCAGCAATTACGGAATGGTGTTTCTGAGTTAAGAGTAAGTGCTACTCCGCGGACACCGAGACTTCCACCCGCGCCACCAACGTCCGGCCAAAAGCTAGGGAAACGGCCACCCGCTCCTGAACCACGAGATGCGCACACTTTCGAGGTATGTCTATCAAAATTATTTTCTGAATTTAAAATAAACCTATCATTAACATCGCAGCCCTCCACAAGTCCACTGCCGAATACAGGCATATTTGTCACTAATAAACACTAAATGATGATGTTGAAATTTTAATCATTGCATTCTTTTCATGCAAGATCAATTTTATTTTCTAAACGTTAGGTGTCAGCTACAACATGCCAAATTAATTATGTATACACAATTTAATGTTGTTTGTTATTTTGTTTTAATTACATAACGAATGATATTTCTTGAATAAGATGATGTGTTCGGTTTATGTTGAAGAAAAGAAATGAATCAACTCGTTGAAACTAGTATATACATAACAATATCAGCTCAGTATCTTTGTATTTAAATGAAAAATATGACTATTTTTTATATAGTTAATCTTAACCATTATAATTAACAATTATTTCTACCTAATAACTTTTAACTGTTCAATAAATTTAACCATTAACGTCATCTTTACACGCTTAGGCCGGAGGGGTATTAACACTCGATTTCACTAAATAATTTTTGTATATGTCTCAGGTTTATGATAAAATCACTTAACCTAATAAATAAATAAACATAAACAAGTTCAGGTTTTTTGATTAAAAACATATTTTGTTCAAGTTAATTACAATATTAAGTAATAACTTTGTCTTCTTCCGGTTCTTGATCAAAAGCCTAGGTTTTTGATCAAAAACTTGATTTTATCATAAACCTGCAACACATAAATATATATAACAATTTGTATGCTATATATGAAAATCGGTTCTTAAGTAGTAAACTCCAAATCGTAAATATTTTTCAGGTGCGTTTCACAAAATCAGCTGGGGGTAAGGGCCTTGGCTTTAGCATTGTTGGCGGTCGCGACTCCCCACGCGGTGACATGGGCATCTTCGTCAAAACGATCTTCAACAACGGCCAAGCAGCTGAATCCGGCCTACTGCGAGAAGGTATGCTCGTAACATATATCATGAATATAGTAATTACATATAGATTTTACATGTCCTTATTCTTCTAGAATACTACAAACAGGTAGGTGGTAAATTAAATTATACTTAAAATTAAGCTTTACTCTATATGGAAATAGAAGCTAGATTTGACTTTTGTCTGTCACGGTAGATAAATTATATTAAAATTTTAAAATAGTACATTTGGCCATGCTGGAAATCTGGGCTTTCTTTTCGAACTAAGGAAACACGCGCCGAAGATCTGTATACAAATAATAAAGTCAACAAATTACAAAGCCGTTTTTGTTTTCGTATATAAAAATACATCTACTTATTAATTACTAGTCGACTCTCTATGCACCTCGTTTGCACTCTGTCGCTGACTACACTTACACCCGTCGATAACAAACCACAAAAAATAACGTCATTCGTAACGTAAACTAATGTTATAAGTTCTTGTCAGCGTAAAGGTGAACATTCTTTGATGACGGGCAGATGCTAGCTGTATAGTTTATTACTATACTACATTCTACGACCTTCGCGCACCTGCTCCTGTATGTTTATTTATTAAGCCATCGTCTTTAAATTATTGCAGCCATCCATGAAAAATTCAAGATTCGTAGCTATGTACATAATCTGTTACCTTAAGAGTGAATGTTTAATAAAATAAAGTTTATAATGTTTTTATTCGACTATTGCAGAACATAAATTTAAAAAAAACATGTATATAGTTCACACGCGGTAGAAGTGAAATCTCCATAAAACTAAATTTCGAGAGAATAACACGAAGTATCAAGAGTAGTATAATTGTAGGGTTTATTTATTATATTACTGTTACCAAGTTGAAAATTATTTCACATTATATTACATGACATATTGTACAGACTCCAAGTTTTCAAATTCAACAAGAGGAGACCGAGATGATAGGAAACACTGTATGAGTACTGTATTCTATCTCATGCTCTCGCAACATAGATACATAGATTTAGATTTATCTTAATCGAAGCTAAATCGTATAGATGTATATGTTAGTTTGTTTTTCAGAATCGCTTTTTCGTTTTATCGACTTTCAAATCACAACGATTCTAAAGAAGTGTTCACTTCAAAATAAACTTTATGAAAATTAAAAGCACATTTCAAAAATTAAAAATAATAAAATATTTTTTACATAATAGCTTCTGAAGTCAAAGAATCAAAGTCGATTTTTAACTTTTTAAAAAAAAAAATATTTCGTAGACATGTGAAGTTCGCCAACATCTTCCTTGCCCTAAAATCGCAGAAATGAGAGGAGGCCTGTGCCCAGCAGTGGGACGTATAAAGGCTGTTACTTTACTTTACTTTAAGGAATATCTTTTTTTTTAAAACGTTACCTCCAAACTAGAATTTTCTCCTAAATCGCGGGGGCAATTTACATACATAGATTTCACAAGGACAAACACCCAGACCCAGAACAATTATTTGTAGGCCATACATATACTTATTCCGTGCGGGATTCGAATCCGCGTCCCTTAATGCTACAACTCATCGCTAAGACACTGCGCCACGGAGCCGTCTATAACACATCAAGTTCAAGCTAACAACTATAATATCGTCTGAATTGTTACATTATTTATAAACGTCATCACATTTATGCTTACATTATAACTTTTAACATTACATATCATGTTTCTACCCTCAGGATTGAATATTTTATATATTTACATGGGACCTTCCTTGAAGTTTAGAATATTTAACAAAAGAAGAATCAATTTCGGAAACGGCTGAAACATGGTGAACATCATACATAAAAAATCTATATTCGACGCACAATTTTTTTTATGTATGATGTTCTCGTTTTTTTAACTCGGTTAAAAAGTAATAAAATAACCAAAAGAAGAACGATTATAACCTCATTTTAATGGAAAATACATCCATTAAAGTTTTAAATTGTAATTTGCATCACGATTTAACGTTAACGTCGTATGATAAAAATGCTAACAGCCCAGTGAGCCTGCTGTTTATGGCTTCTTTGGACGTAATTAAGAGTTTTCTTTTGAGTCTATTTGGTGTTAATTATCATCTGTAAAAGGAAGTAAATATTTTATATAACTTTTCAAAGTACTTCATATTTTAATTATATATGTATGCTACCCACTTAGTATGTATATAATCCACCATTATTTACGCAAATTTTATTTAAAGTAACTTCAGACAGATAGAAATATATACTCATATTGAATACTAAATGAAAAAAAATACAATTTATAATAGCTCTAAGATGGTTAGTCGTACGCGACGGTAGGTAATAATTGGTCTAAAATGAATATATAATTTATGAAAGCATTAGTGTGTTCAACAATTAATAAAATATTTAAATCCCATCTCTTGTAACGATTTTCATTATCGATTTTCAATGATAATCAACGCACTGCATCGGTTGGACATCAAGATTTGATTCCATTATCTGTCCTTTTTAAACCGAGTTCAAAACAATGGGAAGTTTCTATATTCGGCGGTCAGGTTCTTTTTAGCGGTAAACGCGCAAACTTGTGTCTTCTAGGGATTGAACTGCCAATCCGAGACTTTGTTCAACAAGTTTATTCTGGCACTCGAAGACGTGTTCCCGAGAAATATTAGAACGGCTGGTGTATAAGGCATCGCCAGGGTTATCAGCTTGATGATGAAGCACTTGATAACAAATCGTATGTCTTCAGAAAAATTCGATTTCATCTAGCACCCATATGTAAAGACTGTTTTATTATCCTTACAAATTTTGAGGTAATTCAGCATCAAGTGTGTTAAACTATAAATATTTTTTTGTATTTTCGTCCGTTATTTAGGTAAATGTTTTACTGACCTTTGACTTCAAGTAAAACTAGCTTTTTACTTCAATTTTTACATCATTAGATACCGTTCCGTGCCAAATTTAGTAAAAGTCGATCACGTACATGATTGATATTTGGCATAGATATAATATTCTATAGAAACAAGTGAATAAATTAAGTTTTTCAGAATGGCATTCATATGTCTAGAAACACTTAATATTTTTATTATATCGAGCGTGTCGTTCGATGCATCTATATGAAAGGTAAATAGTCTTAAAATCAAAATTGCGTTATTATTATTTTTATTTTTATACACACCGCATGCAACTTTACAAGGCGCAGGTTCGGCCTCACATGAAATACTGTTCACATCTGTGATTGACAAACGAGACTTAGTCCACCTGATGAAAAGTGGATGCTGTGACACATAGGTATCCACATCTATCGTTTGAGATTAAAAAAATTGGATGCGTTGACATCCGAGGACTAAGATGCTTTCCAATAAAAAGGGTCTCCGGTTCTCTCACTCACCTAACGAAACATTCTGTGACAGCGTGATACTTCCTCTGCTGAGCTGACTCATTCGTGCTACAACCATAATATCGCTGCTGCAATTTGGTTGTACCATGTAGTTTTGGTATAAGAGAATCAATCACACCCCATCCAACAAACGCGACGTGGCCGTCATAAGAGACAACTGCACGAAATACCAGGGAAAAAAACGTTCTTTTATAGGATAGGGTGACAAACCAACACACAGTCCACCTGATGGTAATTGGTTGCTGTGGCCCATAGACATCCTCGTTTGCGAATCAAAATGCAGATGCGTCGTCACCCGTGAGGACTAAGATGGAATGCCTCTTTTCCAGTAAAAAGGGTCTCCGGTTCTCTACACTTACCATACGAAACACAGCAGCATTAAGCTGCTATTTTCCCGGTGGAGCCGACCCAATTGTGCTACAACTATACTACTAATATAGCTGCAGCATGGCTCTACCACGTATTAAACGTTTATTAAACTTTTAGCTTCTGAAAGATGGCGGTGTAATGATCTCGTTTACGCCAGACATAAAATACTCATACTGACGATATATGTAATAGCCTCATAGATGGATGATATTTGCCGTAGTTGCCACGCTTGGTAACCGCATTTTTTTATTATTTATAGTTGATATCAGGAAAATATTGCTGCCATCGTATGATTTATGACGGAGTAAAGCCACGCTGCAGCTATATTTTGGTTTAAGAACAAATGAGTCGGCTCTATCGGGGAAGGACCACGAACTCACAGAATACCAATGTTAAATAGCAGGTTAATGCTGCTTTATTTCGTATGTTGAGACCCGGAGTCTGACAGAATTACTGATAACGAGGCATTTTATCTTAGTCCTCAGGTGTGACAACGCATCTTAATTTTAATACTTAATCGAGGATAGATGTAATTGTCTATGGGCCACAGCATCCACTTATCATAACTGTGTGACTGTGGTGTGTGTATGTGTTTTTTTATAGGATAGGGTGACAAACGAGCACACAGTCCACCTGATGGTAAGTGGTTGCTGTGACCCCTAGACATCTACATTTATCTTCAATAAAGAATCACAATGCAGATGCGTCGTCATCCGTGAGGACTAAGATGGAATGCCTCTTTTCCAGTAAAATGGCTCTCCGGTTCTCTACACTCACCATACGAAACACAGCAGTGACATTTTACGCTGGCATTCTGTGAGAGCGTGTTCCTTCACTGGTCAAGCTGATCCATTTGTGCTACAACTATACTACTAATATAGCTGCAGCATGGCTCGACCACGTACAACGTAAACTGTTTTCTCGATTGTCACCTTTAATCTAAAAAAAACCTCCGGTTTCAGTTTTTCTCTGTCACCCATTAATACACGCGGGATAACATCGAGTAGTGGAGCTATTGTGTGATGGCATAAAGAAAAAAAATTAATTAATTAAAACAACTCTTTACGAAACGCACAACCAAACTACAGATTAGTTAATAGTTTACTAAAACCAAACATAATTATGACACACAAAACAGATTATATATGAATAAACTTCACTTTCTCAGGTGACGAAATATTGTCGGTAAACGGAAGAGGAACCGCGGGGCTAACTCATGGAGAAGCTATCAGGTTATTTAAAGATGTTCGAGCGGGTCCAGTACTTATACGTGTAGCGAGGAGGGCGCCGGCTCGCTGACTACCCTGCGCCTGCTGTGGCGAGTCCTCGCCGCTTCAGGCGCCTCTATCTTCTTCTCCTAATTATTCCACTCTATAACTTTACTAGTTACAACGTAAATCAGCAGATGTTGCATAACTTGGATTATATCATGCCAAACATTTTAAGACTAATTCATAACTTATTCGACCATTTCACCAATGTTACCGAAAAACCTAAGAAAGTATTTTCGTGAAAAGCTGTTTTGGAAATTATTTTATGACCAAGTCATATAAAACGTTTTTCATAACAGCTTCAATAAATCAACAGAACTTGTAATAGTCACTAACACAAGTCTCACTGTAATTTATTCAAATACAATAATTGTTCAATTTAACTTAATAACTTGTGTAAAAAAATACCTTTCCTGTTTATTATTTTCGAGAACTGTTACTAAGCATAAAAATACTAAAATTGCAAAATTGCGGTATTTAGTACTATTACTGTAGATTTAAGAACCTCACCTCTATATTGCCACCTATTTCTATGTCATATATGAAGATATGCCACCCTTATGGGTTCAGTTTGTTCTCCAAATGTTTATTCCCACGAAATATTACCTATTTAATACAAATGAATCATCAAAATCAAGTACATCATAATATATATTATTATTGTGGCCGGTGAAAGGAAAAGGGGAGATCTTCCGCCGAGCAAGGTGTGCTGCCCGGGGAGCGGCCAACGCTCCGAGTGGTATAGTTCGGAGCTATTTTATATAATGCTGCTTTAACTTCGGAACTTTGTTAGCGCGATTAAAGCTTCTATTGTGTTTCGCTTGTGGCGCGACGACAGCGCCGCCACATTATATTATGATGTACTGATTTTGATAAAAAATGTATGTGAATTGTAACTCCTCCACCTTTTTTTGAAGTCGGCTATAAATACTACTTTTCAACCGACTTCAAAAAAGGAGGAGGTTCTCAATGCGATTGTTTTTTTTTTGTGTTACCTCAGAACTTCTTTTCAGGTGAACCGATTTTGATGATTCTCTTTTTATTTGAAAGCTAATGCTTCACAATTTGACCAGTAGTTTTTGAGTTATGTTATGTGATGTTCTCATTTTATTTATATTGAAGTCGGTTGTACAAAATTTTTAATTTTACCACTTATTATGTCATCAATAGCATGACAGAGACATGCTTAAATTTTTGTATTAAATTCGTAATCAATTTGATCAAATTCTCTCTAAAAAGTGTGAATTAAAAATGTTAATAACTATAACATCATTACATCGAGCTAGTTTTCAAACGTATATATTTTATGATTTGTAAGCATTTTTAGCTTAGCCTAGATAGACATATGCAATAAATGTAAACTGCCTTTCCAAAGTAAATTTTGTAGACCACGACAAAATTTGATTATAATAATTATTGTCTGTGATAAATTGAATCATGTTGAATTGCAAAAATAAAGCCTAGTACATAAAATAATTTATTTATTTTTGTAGATAAAGTATATAACGTTGTGTACATAAATAGCAACGTATTTTGTATCGGATGTAATATAGTTTTATCTAACCTATAACGTATAAAATATATTATGTAGAAAATGACACGTGCATTAGTTTTGTATATATTTACAAAATAAAATACATTGTGCCTATATATTTATGTAGTAATTAAAATTAAGCGCTTTAAACTAATGTACCAAATAAATGTTTTGTATTAGGACGTGTTTTAATCATGCAAATATTAAATAATTCTTCTTCTTTTTTAGTTCCATATGCTTAGAAATCTTGAAGATGCAAAAATATAATAAAATCAAACAAAACTTCTTCTACTTCTAAAATCTTTTCTACATCTTTATCAGTCCCAATTCAAAAGTCAGGGTACAAAAGGGCTGCCGGCTGTGCACAGCGCTGCCCAAACGCGAAACGCTAAAACGGTTTTACAATGTTTAACGGCTTTTACTGAAAAGCTGAAATGGCAATGGGCCGGCCATATAGCTCGAAGAACCAACAACTCATGGGGAAAAAAGATTCTCGAATGGCAGTCTCGTACCGGTAGTCGAAGTGTATGGCGATACTCCACCAGATGGATTGACGACCTGTAATACATGCCGGAAGTCGATGGATGCAGGTAGCTCAGGACCGTGCTTTGTGGCATTCCTTTTGGGATTTAAATGAAACTACTTTTTACGGATTTTATCGCGTTTAATTTAACTTTTTAAATTTAACCCGACGTTTCAGTACAGTGCAGTCACGAGGGGGTGGGGGGAATGAAGTATTTGATGTCCCGATGTCATAGTTAGCCCGGCCACCTTCAGTTTTTGAATATTAATTTTTGGTCCGATCTACGCAGAATGAGCTTATAGTATCTTGAAGTCTTGCAGTGGTATGCTTGGGTTTGGTTTTCAAAAACATCCTAATTTCAATAGAGATATCCTATAATTAATAAAATTAAATCCAAACTCAAGCATACCACTGCAAGACTTCAAGATACTATAAGCTCATTCTGCGTAGATCGGACCAAAAATTAATATTTCAGTTTTTGAATATTAATTTTTGGTAGCCGGGCTAACTATGACGTATGTTGATGAATCATGATTTTTAAAGAAATTTGTATAAAGTATTAAAACATATTAATTAATTTCTTTAAGTTACCTAAATAAATATAAATAGTAAGAGCCGTGGTAGCTCAAGGGCTTAGCACATGCTGTAAATTTCACAGTACGCGACCAACCCAGGTTCGATCCCAGCCGGCACCAGAGAAATTGGTAATTACAATTTTAAGTGCTAATTTACCACGTGCTCGGCGGTCAAGGAAAACATCGTGAGGAAACCTGCATGTCTGAGAAATAAGAAAAAAAAGAAATTTCGAAGATATGGAAGTTCGCTAACACGCATTGGGGCAGCGCGGCGGACATTTCCTTGCCCTCTTAGAAAAGAGAGGAGGCCTGTGCCCAGCAGTAGGACGTATATAAGCTGTATCTTCTTTTTGTAAATAATAATGATAGTCTGTAAAATTTCTAAATAACGATTACCAACATGCATATGTAACCTTTTTTGTTGGATACTGGAGAACTAGATTTTTACTGCATATTGATTCTTAAGAGAATTATGAAGTTGTAAATTTTCATACAACATGCTATAACGTTTTTACCCCCGTAAACATAGTCTAATTTTCATAATTTTTGAAAATGTGGATATAAGGATAGGATTTTTGAAAATGTAGACTAGGTCCGTATGTTTTTATTTTGAAGAAATTTTGCGAACGATATAAGAATTACTAAAAAAGAAAATGTACAGACCTAGATGAGTCATAGTCATAATAATCTCTAACAAGGGTATACTGAATCTCATTAGATTCAGTACACCATGAGAGATTATCTTATTATTTCATTTCATTTTAAAGGTATAAAGGCAAAAATGTTATCGCCCGAAACAATATTTCAAAAGGGAAAAATGTAGGAATTGCTTCCGAGATTTGCAACTGTCTCTATCGCACGATACGGCGCTTTGATTATATTATACATGACACAAAGATACGGCGATACGGAGCGAGCGGTATGAAAAGATAGTATTTTTGAAAATACCTACTCGTGCCGCGTATCGGCACTTCACTATCCTTTTAATCAAGGATAAATGTAAATGTCTGTAGGCCACAGATTCCACTTACCATCAGATGGACTGTGTGCTCGTTTGTTCCAGTGGTCGGCAAAGTGCGGCTCCAGAGCTGCATGTGGCTCTTTGGCTCCTTAAGTGCGGCTCTGGTACAAATATCCACGGAAGGCGCAATAATATTTTCATTTAAAAAACTTGGTAAGAAATTAACATGGCTACCAAAAAAAAGCAAAGAAAAACGTAAGATGAAAACCGCGAATTAAAAGTTAAATGAACCGAGACTTTTGCGTTTATTCAAAACTTGAATGGATTTTCGGCATGTCTTATTTGTAAGGAGAAATTCGTGCATAACAAGAAGTCAAATTTAGAGAGACACTAACTACAAAACAGCACGCGTCATTTTGCAACAAATATCCTACCGGTGATGCAAGAAAGAAAGCAGTTGAGGAACTTCAGAAGAGTCAAGAGTCGTCAACTTCTATGTTTAATAACTGGATGCAATCTTCCAGCAATATTAATATGGCAAGTTTTGTTTTTAGCCAAGAAATTGCTAACAGAGGGAAACCGTACACAGACGGCGAATACATAAAAAAATGTTTAATAAATGCATCCGAAGAGCTATTTCGGGATTTTAAGAACAAAGCAGATATTCTGAAAAGAGTTAAAGAGTTACCATTCTCTGCCAAAACCATTAATAATAGAACAATTAAAATGTGTTCGCCACCCAGCATGTCGAAGAACTGAAATTGGTTTCAGCTTTAACAATAGCAGTTGAAAAGTTTTGTGACATAAATGATACAGCGCAAGTTTCACTTTTTGTAAGAATTATGTCTCATTCAGGCCCTAAAGAAGATCTTTTAAGATTATTGCCACTCAAAGGTCAGACGTAGAGAAGATAGTAATCGCAAAAGCTGTAATTGAGTGTATAAACATCATATTCCCCTCGATAAAATTGTGTCGATTTCAACAGATGGGGCCAAAAGTATGGCCGGCATAAGAAAAGAGTTAGTTGCTATTTTGAAAGAAAAAGTTAATGACGAGCTACTTGTTTGTGTATCATTCACCAAGAAGCGCTTTGTGCGCAAACATTTCCGGATGAAATTTGTAAAGTTATGGAATTTTTAGCTAAAGCTCTTAAACATCGCCAATTCTAAGAATTTTTATTTGAAATGGAGAGTGAATACGCTGATTTCTGCTTGATAACAAGGAACGTTGGTTATCAAGAGGGAACGTTTTAAAACGTTTCGCGTTCCTTTTTCCGGAAATTAAAGCATTTCTCCTTGAGAAGGGAGTTCACTATCCAGAACTAACAGACGAAATTCCAAAACTTCTATTTCATGGTAGACGTTACGTCTCATCTAAATCAGCTTAATCGTAAACTAAATTTCTCCATGGACGTCAGATCGTCGATGTTAGAAGAAGTAATAACATTCGAAAACTTTCCAACACTTTCCGAGCCTGCTGAAGCATCGCCAATAAAATAATTCCTCTATTGATAAACACTATTTAAAAACAATAATTTTTAATATGAGAGAAGCATTCCTCAGCAGGTTTCAGGAATTTAAAAACAGCAGAGCAACTTTAGCATTTGTCAAAAATCCTCTTAATGCTACGATAACAGAGTTGAAATTTTCTTCTTTTGAAATTGACATTGGTAGCTTTGAAATACAATTGCTGGATTTGAAAAACAAGCAGATATAGTGCTCTAAATTCGAACGTCTTTGTGTTCAATTGGAAATATTGAAGAAAAAAAAATGTGATCTTAGTTCACAACACAAGTGGTCTGCTTTGAATGACCTGGATAAGGAAGACGTGATCATTTTCAACGCTTGGAATAGTATTCCTGACTTTTACGATGAAAAAGCTCATGTTTGCTGTTCTTCCCCTTTTCGGTTCTATATATATATATGCGAACAAGCGATCAAACATGAACATTATCAAGAGTAAACTGAGAAGTCGTCTTATTGATGAGAACTTGGAATCATGCCTAAAATTAAAAACAACATACAAACCTTACTTACTCAAACTTTCCAAGGAGATACAAGCACATTGTTCGCATTAATAAATAATTATTAAATATGAAATTTAGTTTTATTTAGTGTACTAATTATTTAGTGTAATAAAAGTTTACTAAACAACCAGATTTGGCTCCCAATTTTTTTTTAAATTGTTGTAATGTTCATATTTCGCTCTTTGGCTAATAAGTTTGCCGACCACTGCTTTGTTCTATAAAAAAAACCTTAATTCTATTTAAAAATATAGTATTAGCTAGTAGCTTCCGATAGATGGCGGTAAAAGCATTTCGTAATATACCTAGAATGAAAACTAATATCAAAACTTTCGGACGTTTAGTAATCCGCCACCGACCGAATAAATATCGAAAAAAAATTGGCAAAGAGTTTTATTACATTATTTACACTATATATATTTATACCGGGAGGTCATGTCACCAAAGCACAGTGATATGGTATCGTGAGTCATGAAAGAACAACCCACGATGGCATCAATACAACAACAAGGAATAACAATAATAATAATCCAATGACGTCACGTGGCTTAAGTACATAAAGACACTATGAAGCATATTATTATGATCGTTATGACAGTGACAATTGACAACGCATCTGCATTTCTTCTTGCAGATCTTATTTGACGTGCACTACGTACTAATTTGTAACATTTATTATTTATATAAAATGTGATGGTGTGCAGCGTCTAATATAATATGTTTGGAAAGCGTGGGATGTTATTCTGACAGGAAATGTCTTATAATGTGCGGCTGTGTTATGAAATTCTACATGTTAGATTCCTGTGTAAATCCCTCGCGTATTGTGTGACAAGTACTTTTGAACAAGTCTAGCAGTAAACTGGGAAAAGGCTGCCGTTAACAAAGTCGGGCTTGATCCCGTTTTGTCGAGTTTGTAGAGCCATGCTGAAGCTGTATTATGGTTGTAGCATGAATGGGTCGGCTCGGCACGCTCTCACAGAATACCAGCGTAAAATAGTAGATCTATGCTGCTGTGTTTCGTATGGTGAATGTAGAGAACCGGAGACCTTTTTTACTGGACCTTTTTTACATTTCATCTTAGTCCTCAGAGATGGCAACGCATTTACATTTTGATTCTTAATCGAGGATAGATGTAGATGTCTATGGACCATAGCACCCACTTACCATCAGGTGGACTGTGTTCTCGTTTGTCACCCTTATTCTACAAATAAAATGCTGATTTAGCACGTTTTCGGCAGTAAAAAGTAAAATCGGGACAGGAATCATGTTTAACAAAGTAAAAATATTTGAAGGACAGAAAACAACAACAAATTCAAACCATTTTCCATTCGTATCGGGGCATTGTGGTAAAACCGCTCTGCTCTAAACCCTCCCAAATGAAAGAGCACCTGCACCCAACAGACTGTTGTTTGGAGGCAGTTACTACCCTATATAGTAGTACATTATCTATGGCAGTTACTTTGCTTTTTCTTTCCTTTGTTCTATTTAAATAATCAAGAGCAAAAGTTAGTATAATTAAAAAAACAATAAAATATATCATGTTTATTAATAACATTACAAGAATATAATTTCATTTATATAAATATTGGCTTTTAAGTTGTATGATTTTATTAAAAAAAGATTTAAATGAGTACTGACGACTAATAACCTAAATTGTAATTTGTAGAGCACACTTTTAAAATATATTGGAAACTATTTACAAAAAATATAACGTCATAAACTAAGTTAGTTCTACTAATAGTGGTAAGATAAGGCTAGGATACATAACATGAATATTCATGGCAAGTGACCTGAGATTTCTAATTTTGTTTCTCGACGTTGTAGGTTGGAACGAAGTAATTGGTTAGGCAAAACTAATAAATAAAATATCTTTATAAAGATTGTACGCCAACGAAAAATAACTGGAATTTTATTTCTTTAAATAATCTTCAGTATTTACATGCTCAAAGTTTTTTGTAAACTAATACCAGTGTTTGAGTTTTTTTTTTTATCTTTATAATTTTCTAGACATTTGTCACGAGATGGCACTCAACAATAGATCAACGTGGTTGGTGTTTACTACTTTATATTTAATTTTAAGTACAATGCCTAGAATTAGGAAAATGTTAACATCACAAATTTTTACTGTACAGACTAGGCTTAAATTATTCGAATCAATAAATAAAACAATTTAACAAATAAAACGGGAAACAGTCTTAAGAAAGGCCTTATTATAGAAGATATATATTTTAAAATTTAATTATTATGTTGTTAGCGTAATTTCTATATACAAAAATCTAAAAAATACTGACTAATGCATAGAGCAAGTCTTAATACTTATTCATTTTATATGTTACTTTTATCTGACAGTGTCTGACTTATGATGTTTTAATAATTTATTTTCTATAATTAACAAGATTATAGAAGTACCATGCTTTAAAATCTATCTCTTACGCGCGTCATCACATCCACTCGCCTAAAGCATTTAAAGCATTCATTCTCCTTTTATACTATTTATTATCAACTTGTACAAACAAATGCCGACAAATTTCGATCGTTTATCCACCACCACAACACCATAGATAGACTTAGGCATTGCCTGTAGGATTTCGCAGCACTAAGGCTACAGGACCAGCAGGCAAAGATTTCAATGCTGCCCAAGCCTGGGTACGGGTAAATGTCTCCATGGATTGTCCACCTGCGGAGAGCAATTCCGCGCCGACTAGAATACGACCACTCTGTGCAGCCGCACCACCTAAAACAAACATTAATCAGGTATATCCAACTTTTTTAAAGAAAGTTTAGTACTAAAAGTAAAATAAATATTACAGTAAAATAATAAAGAATTTAAGATATTTGATCAACTGATATTTATGTATGTATGCATTCTATCTTAGTTCTGATGGGTCACAACGCATCTGCATTTAGATTCCCAAGCGAGGATAGATGTAGATGTGTATGGGCCACAGCAACCACTTACCATCAGGTGGACTGCGTGCTCGCTTGTCACCCATATCCTATTAAAGAAAAATTAATATAGCCTATGTGAATATACAAACCTGCAAATAGCTTCTTAATTGTCAGAGGTCTGTCACCATGCGGCGAGTCACGACCACCATCCAAGCCGAAACCGAGCCCAGTTCCACCGCCAGCTTTTTCCAAAATTACTGTCACAACATCACTGTCGGTTTTATCGTCTTTAAGTTTTATGTCGTCTGTCTCCTGACGATCCCTCGACTCCGCTGATAAACGTGAAAACAATCAATTAGTAAATAAATTTTACAAATATAATCAAATATTACATCACGTTGCGTTATACCATTTTCAGAGCCGCCTCCCGTTCCACTGTCGTTTGGTGCAGTTTCATTATCTATTTCAATAACCACTTCAGAACGCTGCTCCTGAAAGAAGAAAAAAACGATTTCGGACTTAAACGCCATTTCTAATTACTCTTTGTCAACTTCGATGACAGCGACAACTTTTAATACTCTCGGTAGCTGTCGACTGCATAGGTCACACACAACTTATGATAGAGCAGTTGCGAAGCGGACATATTATTATATGTTAGTTATATGCAATTGCATTCCCTTCTCATACAAATAAGAGCACACAGTCTATCCGATGGTAAGTGTATAGTGTGGTCCATTAGCACCTATACTATCATTAATTAAGTATCAAAATGCAGATACCTTTTCACCCTTGAGGACTAGGACGCGAAAGATGCATTATTATGCACTATTATTTTGCTATTTTACGCTGGTATTCAGTGATTTTGCGGTCTTTTCCTGGTCAAACCGACTCATTCGTACTGCAGTTATATTAAGCTGCAGTATAACTCTCTTTGGGCAATATTATGCTTAAAATTTAATTAATAATAACAACCACTATGTGGCCATCGAAGTCAGAGTGCCTGGGGTATATGTCTCAATCTAGGGTTCGATTCCTAGCTGGAGCACCCATTTGAGGATATCCGCAGTAGACCCAGAGTAACCGACATAGCCCAACTGATCAGTTAACTGAAGAAGGAATGGGCTGGCCATATATCTCGAAGTACTGACTACCGGCCGTAAGAAAAGTTCTCAAATGGTAACTTCGTACCAGTAAGTGAAGAGTGAGGTGATCCCTCACTAGATGTAGTGAAGACCCAGTAAGAAATGCAAAAAGTTGATGGATGCAGGTGGACCATGTATCATTCCTTAAAAGAGGCCTTTGTGCAGCAGTGGACTTGTAAATGTGTAATGATGATGTTGATGATTATATATTGTTAAATTTTTAACTTCTTTGGTTGTAAACTGGAATAGAACATGAATTAAGTGCTCGCCGTAATTTTTTTTTACATTTCGTGAGCAACTTGGGTTCGATCCCCGTTGGCACCTAAGAAACTGCTAATTTTAGCTGCTAATTTACCACTTGCGCTTCGGTATGGGAAAAGGTGAGTAATAACATATTTCGAGAACATGTGAAATCTGCCAACACACTCTACTCCCTCACCTTACCAGAAATAAAAGGATTTAAAAAAAGACATGTATTGGTTACTTTCGTTATTTTTATAAGCTCGTTTTTTTACAAGTACCTTAAGAATAGTGACTGATTGAGCATGCGTAAGACCCGTCATTGTGCAACCATTAATACTTCTAACTTTTGCTCCCCTTTTGAGACCTGCCTTTGCTGCTATACTATCGGCTAAAACCCGATGTACCTAAAATTAAAAGAGATTTGTTATTAAAATGTTAGTTGTTTACACTCCTAATAAAAATTCCATCCCCATGTCGACCCTTGGATGCTATAACAGGCATTTGTAAGAACTGCGAGATAGTTTTCATGGCTTTCTATTGATGGTGGTACAATCATCACGTTTACGCAACACCCTAACCTATGGTGTTAAAACAGCATCAAAGGTGCGAAACGTCTTGTTGGACTGCGATTGCCAATCCGCCTGCCAAGCGTGACAATTATGGCAAATATTGCATTAGAATAATTATGGCCTCCTTAAAACGGGAGAGGCCCAATTCCAAAGTGGACTTTTATTATGATTAACAAGAAGAAATAAAAATTTCTTTCGTTACTTACCGTAACATCTTTAGCTTCGCAATCAATTCCACCAGCCAGTATTAAGCCTACGCCTGAACCAACTCCTTTCCTAAGTCGTATAACAGAAGTTTTGGGTTCTTCGTTAGAACTGATTTCTATCTGATCATTGATTACTTCTTTTTTTAAATTTACGTTAATTGGCTTTTCGTAACACGGTGATGGTTTAACATTGTCAACAGCACCAATATTATCACAACAACCATTTCTTATTAAAACGTTGTCTGTTTCTTTACTTTGCAAAAGGTCATTATTTCTTTTTTCTTGTTTATATGTAGGCAATGTATTTGATTTTGTATCCTTATAACTATCTTGGCCTGTTTTCTTTATTTCTTGTAAAAGCTTTGTCCCATCTTCAACTTTCGAATTTTCAAAATTACTATCATTGTGCTTATTTTTACTAGATGTACTCGAGTTTCGTTTCAGTCTTGAAGTTTTATATTCAGTTTTTCGTTGCCGGGCAAGAGTTTCATCATCTGTATCAGAATCACTTTCAGCAATTACTTTATTACGTCGTCTGTTTTCGCCTTTATTCGTTATAGCACTCACCGAAGATGTGAGTGTAGAAAGACGTTCAGACGATTTCTGTGGTGGACTGGGAGATCCGTTATAAGACTCATGACAAAATTTTGTTTCAACAACAGGTGATTTAAGGTTAACATCTCTGCCGCTCCTGCATTTGGCCGAAGCTACGATGTTTCTCCTATTTATTGTATCTACGTTATAACATCTTGAAACTTTTTTCTTATCTGAGTCAGCAACAGAACTTTCAAGTGAGCTGCAACTTGCTTGAGATCCAGATGTTGCTGCAGAACCCGCCGAAGAACTAAGTGATATATTAGTATCCGATGATACTGAACGGCAAACCTTACGCTTCAAGAATTCCTCACAATTCTTCTCTGCATTAGAAGATTTAGAAGGAATTTCGGATTTGACAAGGGTATAAGACGTATAGTGTGAAATTCGTGGCGAGAGACGAGAGCTATCTGATTCTATAGTATCAACGTGGTGCATAGGCGATGAGGCAGAAGATCGATAACTAGACTGCGTTGAACTCTTTGCTGATTCGTTGTCACTGTCTACAATATCAGTGGCGGTACATATTTTAATTTCTACGTTCTTATAATCTCGAATGTCACCCAAAGTGTTGTTATAATCTCTTGTAGATAAATGTGTTAAATTAGGGGAATCTAATGTATTTCTCGCCGATTTGAATAAGTTTGGCTTAAAATATGTTTTACTCTGCATGTTTATTTTATCATTTATCTTAGGCTCTGGTGTAGATTCTTTTGAAAATGTCGATGGTGTGTACACTTGTAACGATTTTCGTTTAAAAGCAGGTGAATATTTCGGTATATTATTCGCTAAGAAATTATTTTTCCATTTAGTCTCATTTACATATAAGGGTTTAGAATTTAGCAAGTTATCCTTTTTCAATACATTATTTTGGTTAGACTTCAAAATAAACGGCTTGGAAAGTGAATCTTTAACTTTAATTTCTGGAAGATCAACAATAGGTGTTTGTACTTCAGGTATCACTAAGCCCCGCAACTTAGACATAGATTTTTTTCTCTGTTCTATAATGTGTTCTAGTTTGTGAGTAGTCACATTTTTGTTGCCAGCATCATCGCTTATACTTCTAGTGTGATATACATTACGACTAAATGATGTATCAATAGAGGACGGTAAAGTTGTGGTGCTTCCATAAAATAAGGGCATTTTTGTAAGCTCAGTATGCGAAAACCTACTTTTTAATTCTGTACTACTCGTTTCAAGCGCTCCGAGAACCTCGGGCCTATCAGAATGCCTTTTATAAGATCGAGGCGTATCATCTAGGTTATCTTGGGACTTAGTTAAACGTCTATCTAAAGAAGATACATCAGAAAAACTGTTTAAGTAAGACGATGTATTTTTTCTTAGCGCTGTCTTGTTTCTGACTGGTAATGTTCCACACTTATCCAAGCGGTCAGAAGATGCTCCAAGATCATTCGAAAACATAGCAATTTTATCTTTGACACTGGCTTCACTTCTAGCATCTTGCGTTCTTGATAAGTAAGAATATCTGGGACGTGTCGTGGCCCAGCTAGATGGTAATCGTGGCGGGAGTCTTGACGGTAAATCAGGAGCTTTATCTATTGCATCTGAAGGAGTTTCCACTCCATCCGGTGGCTGCCTTGGGCAAGTAGGAAGGGGTGTTTCATCATTTGAAAGAACTTTATCTTCTGCATCACTTTTGTGAATGCGATCTGAAAAATAAGAAATGTTATGTTAAAATAGGTTTCATTAGTATTTATTAAGATTACAATAATTAATTGCAGTAAATATTTTACTAATTTTAATATGTCTAACAAAATAATTTCGACATTAATATGACAACACTAAACGGAACCGGAATCGTAACTAAATCATTGAAGATGTAATAAAGTAACCGCTAAGATCTAAATCACTTGACGGTCCGTTATCGCAGAATATTATTCTCCTAATTTTGCCTCGTTTAGAGACAAAAAACATGTGGTTTTGGGTGCAGTGATAGTGGTGATAGTGCAAGCAATAGTGGAAGCAGGAAGGTGCCCTTCAAACTAAATAATAGTCGTTCTAATAGTAATAAGAACATTATATTCAAACATTTTTATTTAGACCTTTCATAAGCTTTTTTGAAATTTATTAATGACTGCGAAATACGAGTATAACACTTCAAATTGTAGAAGAAATGCATGTTTTCCGCACAAAGAAAAAATGAAAATTATATTATGGTTCACATAATCCTTATCGATGTTACTCTTAAAGTTGCTCTCTCTTTCTCTCTACCTCTATCTCTCTCTCTCTCTCTCTCTCTCTCTCTCTCTCTCTCTCTCTCTCGCTTTCTCTATTCACTAAATGACAATAGAAAATGAGACCAGTTGATAATAAGTACTTAATTTAAGTCAACGATTAGAACGTTTATATATTTTCTGTAGACAATCTGATTAGTTTAAATTCCATAACTATCCCGTAATTAACCTCGCAGAGTGGTCTGGTACCAAGTAGATACGATTTATAATCCGCCTACCAGGCGTGCTGACTATTGCAAATCCTCCCTCAAATATGAGAATCCAGTATCCAGCAGAGATTTGTTATAGGCTTATAGCCTTGTAAAAGAAGTTCAATTCGATTGTATGTTTTTAAATGTATGTTACGCGATATTTTCGTCAATAGTGAACCGATTATTATTATTCTTTTTTTATTAAATAGTTTATACTTCAGGGGTAGTTTCAAATAAATATGGAGAAAATATTATACACCTAACGGTGGCAAAATAGGAGTGAAGTGTTTGATATAGACAACCTTAATCTCATGGCTGTTACATGGGAAATAAAGCTGCACTCTTCAACAGATTTGACACCATACAGGCAACTGAACAGACAGATCTCCAAATGCATACGGTGGAACTTACGTAACTTCAATACAGCTTGTATTGAAGTAGCGATCGAGGAGAACCAGGGCTCCAAAATCTTTGCCAGAGATCTGTCTGCCAGAAATAGCCAACTGTCAAAGCTGAAGACCGAGTGTGGCAGCATCGTTTCCGGGATACCTGAGATTTTGAGTGAGATTGAGAGGTTCTATGGGCAGCTATACACGTCGCCGTTGGAGCCACACGTAAGTGTGAGTAACGATCAAAGAGCAACTCTCATTTGACACTATTCCGATGATATCCCGGACGTCAGTCTGAGCAAGATTAGAATGGCTTTCCGGCACCTTAAAAAACGTCAAACGGCCCCAGACGAGGATGGAATTACAGCGGAGCTTCTGAAAGCGCGTAGAACACGGGAATTTGAAGTTCTTCAGAAACTCCGGCTTTACCACCATAGATCATATACATATCCTTTGCCAAATTGTACAGAAGACCGAAGAGTATAATCTGCCACTTTACCTAGCGTATGTGAACTATGAGAAAGCCTTTGATTTCGTCGAAATTTGGGCGGTGCTACAGTCCCTTCAGTGGTGCCAAGTTGACTATCCGTACTCGTATATCGATGTGCTGCAGTGTTTGTACAGTAGAGCTGCGATGGCTATCCGAGTACAGAACCAGAATACGAAACATATCTAACTGCAGAGAGGTGTAAGACAGGGTGACGTTATATCCCCGAAACTCTTCACCGCTGCATTGGAAAACGTTTTCAAGCTTCTGGACTGGAAAGGATACGGTATTAACATCAATGGCGAGTACATCACTCACCTTCGATTTGCCGACGATATAGTCCTTATGGTAGAATCACTGGAGGAGTTAAGCACTATGCTCAATGATCTCAATAGTGTCTCCCAATGGATAGGTCTTAAGATGAACATGGACAAAACAAAGATTATGTCCATGTCACATCTATGCCGGTAGTTGTTGAGAGCACTAAGTTCAAAGTTGTTGATTGTTGTTTACCTGGGACAAATTGTCCGACTAGGTAAATCCAACTTCGATTGAGAGTTTAATCAACGGATTCAACTTGGCTGGGCAGCGTTCGGAAAGTTACGACACATCTTCTCGTCAGGTATACCTCAAAACCTGCAAACTAAATTGTACAACCAGTGCGTGTTGCCAGTGATGACTTATGGATCTGAGACGTGGTCCTTCACTGCTGGCCGTATGAGGATGCTCAAGGTCACTCAGCGAGCTATGGAGAAAGCTATCGAGCATAGCATATCATAGGGTTTCTCTGCGTGATAAACTTAGAAATGAGGATATCCGAACCAACGGATCAGTAAGCTGAAGTGGCAATGGGCCGATCATATAGCTCGAAGAACCAACAACCGATGGGGAAAAAGGTTCTCGAGTGGCAGCCTTGTACCGGTAGGCGAAGTATAGGGCGTCCCCCCACTAGATGGAGTGATGACCTGTTAAGATATGCTGGCAGTCGATAGATGCAGGTGGCTCAGGACTGTGCTTTGTGACGTAACTTAGGGGAGACCTATGTTCAGCAGTGGACTTGTGACAGGCTGTAATGATGATGATGATGATGATGATTTAGACTATAATCTAGTAATTATTACCTTCATCCCCCTCAGGCCTCCCTCAATACCGCCATTAAAGTCAAGTCAAATGGGCAAAATATGCCAAAAATTTGTATCGATACAACAATAAAATATCCTATGCCATGTCCTTTCGGAACGCTGCCAACATCCGATTGACTTCGCAAACATTCGATTGCCTTGAATTTGTAATTCGAAGTGCACTTATCGTTATCATCATGAACAAAGATACTGCTGATGCTTACTAAGGAAATATACATCATATATATGAAATATTGCCATAGTTGCCACGCTTGGCAAGCGGGTTGACAACCGCAGTTTTTTATTATTTTGAGTTGTTATCAGGAAGAAGCTGCTGTCTGTTTCAATTTCCCTCCGTCGCCTCTTACGACACCCACGGTACGATATGGGGTAATGGATATTCTTACACCGCCCCACTACAAGGTACCGGTACGAAAATACGGTAACACGCTATTATTACCTTAAGCTTATATAACTGGTAAACCACTGTATCTTGAATATAATATAAGTAGCACATTTTCCGAACGAATATTATATAGATATAACAATATGAAGTAATGACCGCTTCCCGCACCTTGCTCGGCAGGAGATCTTTTTTCCATCGATAGCATATTGATAACCCAGACGTAATATGAACACGCGAACTGGCTGCTACCTTCGTTAGTGTAAAGTAAAGAAAGTTCGTTAGCGCACTAATCCATCACGTATTTATTTTGTCTCTTCAATCTCGAAAATACAAACTTGACTTGCTCTTGTATCCAATTATTAATATACAAACACACTTTTAGGCATAATCAAATCTAGTGAAAATTAGCACTTTCCTTAATACTACTTATACTATATATATTTCCCTTCCCACAGAAACTTTATCAAAGACTATTAACTTAATATAAATTCAATTGAACCGATAACTTTCAGCGCAGACAGAGTCTAACAGATTTTGGATTTTACTTATAAATCTTCACTTGCACTATTTTGTTTGCGTAAGTAATGTTGACGATCTAAAGTACTGTGGAAACATAAATCACTAGTCTCCTATTACAGTTGACCAACTTATTAGCCAACGTGATGCGTCATGTATTTTATCATTCTCTATTAGTCACAAAGCTAATATTATAACACTTTGGATTTTATATAATACAAAATTGAGAAAGATCACGATTGTTTTATTATATTAATAATCACGTGCGCGATGTCACACTTTTATTAATTCTCAGCGATAGTGTTTAAATGCCTAGAGGTATTTTCCGAACCAGTGATAAATAAAAAAATGACTTTCAATAAGTATACTACATATGTCTTGGAAGTTGTTATTTTTTTTCTTATTTCTCAGACATATGCAGGTTTCCTCACGATGTTTTTCTTTGCTGCCGAGCAATATTGAATAAAATTCTATTAAAATCTAAATCTTTCATTCAATTCTATGGTTTTACAACTAAATATAACATTCAAACTCAAAAAAATACATACTTTGAATTGATCATTTAAGATATACCTATATCTTAAATGATACGGTATATATATAGTTACGGTAATTTGTTACAAAAACTAGGTAACATTCGCACTGTAAGAAATTGAAAATTTTCCATTTACCTTCTCTTTCTTCTACTATTGGATGTAAATAGGTATGTCGGATTTTGGTGACACTGTATGATTTCGTATCCAGCACAATTATTCGCTTTGTATACATTTCCTCTTAAGAAAAATATACAATAATTAGTAATTTACTATACATTAACGAAAAAAATTACCGATGCGTCTGTTCTATTCCACAACCTGATAATACATAATCCTCACACATTTAAGCATAAAATATTTTTCAACGCACGCTATGGCACCCTTCAGCGTATTTAAACAACTGTAGAGTCTGAAATTCGACATTGTTTTCCCATATTTCAAAAATTCAAACAATCCTTCTGAATAAAAATGCCTCAAGTGAAATATATTAACGACATTGAATTAATTTACTCAGTTGTGTAATTATTAATTGGAATATTCTTTTAAATTTAATTGTATTACATACAAATTAAAATAATCTTAAATGTAATTCGTTTGGATGACTGGCATAGTTACAAGGAATTCCACATAAAGCTATAATAGAAATATTTATACATAAAGAAGTTATTGAAATATATATACTAATACCTTCAATAAAACGAATATCTTTTATCATTTATTATATGAATAATTACTCCTGCACATCTTATAAATAATACAGGATAAGTTAATAAATGAAAAACGCCAACTATGGTAATCCTATCCTTAAAATTCTTATTATTAAACCTAATTGTCTTAAAGTTGATAATGCATATTTTTATTCAAATCAAATTCTTTACCAGGTAAATAAACGTCTTTACATATAAAATATACTTCTTTTTGTGTATTGTAATTTGTTTTTATTCACGCTCGTTACTTAGGTTTGCAACAAAACGTATTTTTGCAACAACATGGATTTTTCTATGGAAATCAGGTTATTTATCAGGACTTTTCTTTTTTCTATCTGGTAACCCTAATTTAGGGTAACAAAGAAGCACACAGTCCACCTGACATTGAGCGGATGCTGTGGCTTATAGGCTTCTTCTTCTTATTCTATTATATATCTTAATATATAAAAATTACGTGTCACATTGTTTGTCCGCGATGAACTCCTAAACTACTGAAATGATTTCAATGAAATTTTGCACACTGCAGTTTGGTCCAACTTGAGAGATAGGATAGTTTTTATCCCGATAAATGACCCTCAATATTTTTTATTGCGAATTTAAGATTTTTTATAGGACACAGGGCCGTCGGAGAGGGCAGAACAACGTCTGCATGGGCAGCTAGTTATATTATAGATTGTATTATAGATATTATGGATACAAACAATCAATTTCCTATTATCTTATAAGATCTCTGAAAAGTATAGTTCCTTAATGTTCAATACATCTGTACAGTAAAAATAACATCGTTTTTCTCAAAATATATAACTTCGAGTATTGATTTTTTTCCCTTGAGATTTTGTCCCATATTGTTACGGGACTCATAATTAGGTTTGTGATTGTGGAGATGATGGGCTGGCACTTATTTCATAATTTTCATACAAAACCCATATTTCTTAGCTAAACGTTCGAGTAGCTCGCTACTCTTTGGACTCTCCCCCTCGGGGGTTACAGGCGTGACGCTATATATTCAGTGAACTGAATCGAAGACATTGAATTAATTTATTCAGAGTCTTAACTAATAATAGAAACGTCTTTTCATTTATTTTCTATTCTCATTTGACATGATGAGAATCATTAGCATCAGCATTACAGTCCACTGCTGAACATAGGTCATCTAAGCATTGCCAAAAAGCACGGTCTTGAGCCACCTGCATCTATCCACTTCATGTGCTTACCAGTGAAAGGCTGCCACTCTATAGAGATTATCCTCTTCCCTATGGTTGCCAATTCATCGAGCTATATGACCGGCCCCTTGTCACTTCAGCTTACGAACCCGTAAGGCTATGTCGATTACATTGGTTCTGCCATTTATATCGTCGGTACCGATTCTATCACGCAGAGAGACTTCGGACATAGCAATCTCCATAGTTCGCTAAGCAACATCGCGCGGTCAGCAGTGATCTGTTCCATATGTACACTCTAGTTATATGCTACGAGAAGATGTATCATAATCTACCGAACGTTGTCCATGAGAATACTTCCTAAATATTCGCCTATAAAAAACCTAACTGTATAAAATTAAAATTAAATCGATTTTGATAAACCAGTTAAAAAAATAGATAATTGTATCATTTATATGAGACAAGTAATATGTCTTCAAATAATATTATTAAGACATCCTAAAATTTTATACGCAAGTTAGCAAATAATTCTTACATAAAGTATCATCTACTCATTATTATGGAGTCGTTGTTATCAATAGCCCATATTATTTAAATGTCTGAAAATTTTCGGTTACAGCCAGTACTCAAAACGTAAAAGTTACCTAATTTGGTCTTAAATTAATTCGATTATAAAATACAGTTATATTTTTCAATATTTAAAATCAATGCAGACCATGGAGCGACATGGAGCGTCTGGGCAACTTCCGTGTGTCCAACATAGCGAGATCTTCTTAAACAATAGATCCCAAAGTAATCGTCGTTTGCACTAATTCATAACACTACACTTTCATTTGTCAAACCTGTTTTCGGTTCCTGTTCATTCATAAAGAATTTACTTTCATCACGTCTTCCAAAAAAAAAATGCACAAAAACAATGATACGAGATCGGCGTCGTGAGAACAAAGTCGATTCACTTTATTTTTAGGCTCTGGTGTGATGTCACGGAAGAGAATGAAAGGGTTCGAGTTATGAATACGGAACGTTTTGATTAGCGACCGAAATAACTGTTAATTTACATAGGGTAGGTGGAGCGTGCGTGCGCGCACGGCGGCGAGCGAGCAGAAAGCGCGAACGCGGAGCCGCCGCGGCGGGGCACGATGCACTGAGCCGCCGCCGACTTGCAGAATTTTGCAGCGTCGCCGCCCTTGACGGGGGCGTTGCTCCGAGCCAGGGACGGACTTCGCTGCGCACGCGACTCCCCCGCATCCCTCGCCTGACTGTGGACCCTGTCCTCGACTCCTTTGCTAGCTTCGAGCAGAGCTTATAGGCGGACCATTTTCTAATAGGCAGTCATTACGAACAGCCGTTAAGCTATATTGTATAAAGGCAGGTGACTGTAATCGGTTATATAATTTATTATGAAGGAGAATATGTTAACGATACAAATAATTTATATTAATTCTTTATTATCGGTTGCGACATGTAATTTTAAGATAATAATAATAATACATGTACTCGTACACGTATTAGAATTTAAGAAAACTTCATTTGATCCTTTGATGATACTATTAAGAATACTCATAGTCATGAAATTATTGTATTGTCATCGGTTCCTAATATTTCAGCACAATTTCAGATTACTAAGGCTTTTGGAAATGGGTGAAAACCAAATTGCAAAATTCATTACATTCATACATACATACAGCCTATGATGAGTGCACCAAGGGACGCCAGGGTTGACTACAGAGACAGAAAAATAAATAAACGATATGGGCAACAACTGGAAACTGTAGTTGACGTTGTAAATAAGGTGTAAGGCAAGTATACGTTAAGTCTTAAGACAAGGAACATTAATTTTTAAGCTATTTATAGAAAATCAATATAAACGAAATAAAAAATTCGGAATCTATGCAGGAAGATGAAGAAAGTAATAAAATAAACGGTGAGATGCATATTTCATTAGATTTGGCAGCAAACGGATCTCAGTAAGAAAAACTTATTGCAACAATAAACAAAACCTTTAAGAACCTATCACTTGAAAATAAATGAAAAAGATGAAAATACTGATGAAGATATCAAATTCCAAACCAATCCTAAGTAATAATACATATATTACGGTATAAGTATTGTAAAAAGTTAACAGCTTTAAAGGAAGCGCAATTAACAGCGAAGCAAAATGTGTTTGGGACATAGTGTCATGAATTATAATAATTACTATAGCAGATCATTCCTTTTTAAAAATATATCAAGGAAAACCAAAAGATTTCAAGTAAAATCATAACATATTATTATTCGACAAACCTTTATATTGTTTGAAGTACTCCATATATGTTAAATGTGAACGTTAACACAGAAAATAGATAATAGAGGTGAATGGAGGGTGTTAATCTAGCTAAATAGAAAGACCATTTACGAATTAATGAAACAGGTAAAAGAAAAAAAGATGAATAATTTCATTTATTGAAAACATAACAGGTTCCCTTCATGGGCCGTTGTTGAAACACGACAACTTCACTGAGAACATAATAGGAGCAAAAGTAAAGAAAGAGAGAGGATGAGAAAGATCAACAAAAATAAACATAGATCGTTAAATATCGATAAAGTATGAACCAGCTTTTAATTAAAAGTAAAAGCCGAATGCATAGACTTAAAAGGAATGAAATAATTACTACATAAATGCTTCTGAAGTCTGTGCTCAAGACATTGTGTGTAGAGGATTTGAAGCTATTTGAGTGGGCTAAAGAATATCTCAACATAATGCGTCCAAATAGCTACATTAAAAATTCATGCCACATTTTTCGACTGATCTGATTGGTTTACAATTGACGAAGATATCGCATTACATACATTACACTTCATTACAAAAAGACACTTCATAGCCGACGTAAACTGATCGTACCTTAAGATATATTTCTAATGCAAAGAGATAAAAATCAAATAAATTTGACTTTAATATAATTTACTATTCTACAGCTTCTTATTTAATCTTCTTTCGTTTAGTTTTCTGAAATTCTTTTCAGCTTTAGCTAATGACATTTTTAAGAGCACCAATTGAATATTTTTGTTTGGATCACAGAATAACATATAGTTCTTAAAGTTTCCAATATGAAGTTGAGGTTGAAAATTGAGGTTAAATTTAGCTCGACGTCCATCTTAAGGTTTGGTGTATAAAACTAGAGCTATTAATATCTATATATATCGTTGGTTACTGGTTACAAGATGCCGCGCTCGCGCATCGACGGCGCCACGACCATGTCAGGGTCGCACTCGCGCCCCTTGATCGCTGCGCTCTACTTCCGATTACGCGCTTTTAAGTTCATGCTTGTTAAACCACACACAGTAATTATTTTCATATTTCTAATGATAAGTTGCACTGTCATGTAGTGACTGCGTGAATCTACTACCCCATATGACTCTCCATGGGTGTCGTAAGAGGTGACAGAGGGAAAAGAGTTTTCAAAAACAACTCAAAATGATGAAAAGCTACGGCAATAGGGTAAGATTATGTTCAGCCGTGAACTTTGATAGGTTCTAAATTAATGAATTGAATGGTTAATAAACTAATCGTGAGCAAAAAATTTTGTGAGTTTTTGAAGTTATACTTTTTTTACGATGAGCGCGCACACCGACAGCTAAAAACGACATCATGAAGTTGTTACGATGCGTGCGCACACTGACACCTCAAAGCGACAACTTCATTGAGTAACTGTCTCTCAAGTTTTCGTGGGAACTGATAACTAAATTTAAGGTATTATTTTTAGTTATTATTGTTTTGTTACGCTAAAGAAGTATAACTTCCTACGTCGACATAAGTACACACACACACACACACACACACACACACACGTTTTTTTTAAATCTTTCAGCACCGTCGACGTACAGTAGTAACTTAAAATTCAGCGTCGACCCCGTATACTATAGGGAGCTAACTAATCTCCGTATTATAATGTCACAAGTATGTACGCTAACACCAATCCTTTGTCAGAGATAAGGCTTACATAATAAATCAGACCCAAAAACCAACAATTTGTGTCATGGAAAAAACGTTAATTCCGGTTGGAATAAGAACCTAGGATTCATGACACAGTATTAGATGGAAATTGTGGTCACTAAACCACACGGTCGTTATAAACAAGTTATACAAACCAAGAAAATGTTACATTACAACTTATATACTTATTAAACCTCAAGGTAGCTTGTTCTAAGTAAGTTCAACTCAGTGCGTACACGGATCTTGCGCACGCTTTCTTTCGCTTCGGAGGCCTGAGAAAAGCTAGCAAAAAGGAATGCACCGGAGTGACGTCGCGGCCACGGAGGCTGGAATGTGCCCGTGCTCTCCGCCGCCCCTCGCAATCCGGACGCGGCTTTTAAACCGCTCCAACGTGTTTGCGGAGTTGTTTGCACATTTTTTTACATTCCCGTCCTTTTATTAAGCTTTTATATTATGTTCAATTTACAATTCTAGTCTAGCAAGATGATTAAATCTAATCCCGTCGTGCGGATGAGGCGTGTGTACTTATTTTTATATTTTAAGCAATTCTCTAAATTCATATTCTTTATACATACAAACTAATTTTGAAATTATCATTTTATCCTTGTTTTTTTTTATAATAAGGGTGACAAATGAGCACACATCCCACCTGATGGTAAGTGGTTGCTGTGGCCCATAGACATCTATCTTCGATTAAGAATCAAAATGCAGAAGCGTTGTCACCCGTGAGGACTAAGATGGCATGCCTCGTTTCCAGTAAAAAAATCTCCGATTCTCTACAATCACCATACGAAACACAGCAGCGTTAAGCTGCTATTTTACTCTGGTGTTCTGTGTTTATTTTATGTTATTGTTATTATTAAAAAAATGAAGGACGAATGAAGAAAAAAATGAGTTACCAACCCGCATGCCAAGCGTGATATACCTCCCCCTTTTGAAGCTATTTATGGGAGTGGCCTATGTTTAGCAGTGGACTTATGTTAGCTAAGAAAGAAGACTTACTTAACAGAGACCTACGAGTATTACCAACCGAAATATAGCTAAGAAAATAGCATTAACCAATAAAGTTGACTAAGAAACTCCTGGCAGACAACACTTTTGAACGTTTGTGAATTTAAATAATCGATAAATATATCGATTAAATATTCAAAAAGTGCGAACCAAAACCGACTCTATGATATGGATAAGTGAAAGAAAGTGCAATCGATTTCACTTTCAAAACTAAATTAACTTTCTCCAGTGACATGTCTTATGTAATTTTAACAAGATAAAGCATTCATTACTACTGCATTCATGTCTAACATTTGTACGCAAAGGTCAAAATTAACTGATAGTCTTCCTTTTGTCAAAGTTAAAATCCAAAGCAAATTTTTATCAAGGAGAGAGGGAGAGAGAATGTATTTACTAACTAAAAACTCGATTTATTTGAAAGTTTGAACCTGATCAACTGTTACATAATCGCTATATGTTTGTCCGGAACGACATGCGAAAACGTTTAAACAAAGTTTTTGGTATTGATTGCCTCGTGTACAGTGAATGGTCGAGGTACACAATATACGTATAGTATTACATCAATTGAAATACTTATGTGGCGGCATGCGGGCAAACTGAAACTGTGCGCGCCCTGGAATCCACAAAACCATATTATGCCAAACGTTGCATCGTCCTTTGTTTTAGCTTCATCTCAATTGCAACCTTACAGCGTACACAATTAGATAAATATTGGCAGAAGAGCTTCCATGTTAGGGTTTAAAGCGCTTTTTGTTAGGTCTTCAAGGAAATTCTGCG